GGGAATTGTCCCAGGGATGGATCACGTTGATTAAGTGGAGGTGACTGCAGCTGACTTCACCTCTGTTCACAGGAGGAGAACAATGCATTAGGTCTGGAGAGCCTAAAGAGCAAGATAGGCCAGAGCCAAGAGCAGCCCTGGCCCTGGGTGTACTGAATCACACTGAAGGCTGCTGTCTTGTTTTGTCCAAACATGTCTTGGCTGTGACCAGAGCTTGGCCCTGAGGTGGATGCCTGCACCTACACTGTGGACACCTAAAGTTAGGTGAGATTAATTCCCCCAGAGAGACTGCTGCATGTGACCTGGGAGTAAAGGACAAGTATAGCCAATGCAGAGCATTTCAAATATAGAAATATGTTAAAAAAAACCCAAAACACAACCCCACCAAAAAGCATAGGGACAAGCACTGCCCTGTGTAAATTCTGATTCTTTTGTTTGCATCTGCCAAGTTTTAGCATTAAGATTTGTGCACCAATACCTCTTCCATAGTTTTTTGCCTCATCTTGAGGTTGCATGTGACATTCTTTGGAAGTTTTGGTTGGAAATATTTGGATGACCTCCATCTGAAAAGCATGTTAAATATATTCTAGGGACTTGTATGTATATATATTTTAGAGTAAATATGTGATCTCAATATATAAGTGTACGGAGCAAAATATTTGCACATTGTGTTTTTCTCCTGTGGGAAGGAGTGAGAATAAGTACTAAGAATAACCACCTAGAGCTGTAATGTATCTGAGGTCCATTGTCCTGTCTTTCTCATAACCATAACGCTCAAGCCAAAAGTGCAAGTTTTGTTCACACCTCATTTGAAAACAAAAGCTTTGGGTTTTTTAATCACATAAAAAGGCTAAGTTCTTTTTGTGTTTGTCATCGGGTAAGGGAGCACCAGGCAATGTGACACTGCTAAGCTGAATTAACCAAGTAGACCAACGGAGGAACAGCCTGTCAGGGAGACTGTTATACGTGCACAGAATGATCATCCCTCATCTACCACTCCAGTGAGTCGGTGTGGTCTCACCTTGGGGGGGAAATACAACACTCAACTCTGCCCTCAGTGGCAGTGGCTCAGCACCAACACATATTAGACCTTGTGTCCTCATCATTCTGGATATCTGTGTAATGATGTTTCCCCGTAGTCTCTTTTATTGGTGTTGTTTATAGCTAGATGTCAGCACAGGCTGGCAGCCAGATCTGTCCACACTATCACCACATAGCTTTCCAGCACTTAAAGGTATTGTTCTCCTGTCACTTTCACATCTATAGCTCATATGCACCAAGACTTACACAATTCCTGTTTGCACTGGCTGCTCAGCCATGATTCACTATATCCAGTTATTCTGCTCCTGATCAAGGCAAAATCTTGGTGCTCCTGTGACATTCCACCTCTCAGCCTTTCTGTCATCTGTCAAACACTTTTCATATATGCACTCATATTTATAAACTAATGATGTACAATGCAAGTTGCTCAAGCTGGTATAAGTGTATTCACTTGTTGCACACTAAATTGCAATAGAAGTTAGTATGGCATAAGCAGTAAGTCAGTCATCATTGGGTCCTAATACTATTAACCTTTACAAAAGCAGTTTTTTCTTAATCGTCATCTTCTCAAGAAAGTTTCTGGACCACCCAGTTGCTCAAGATACAACTCAAACTTCATATGCTTTTGTCAGACCCTACAGCTTGATCTGGTGTGGATGTTATAGACCAGGGTGCAGTAGTTGTACTCCAGCTGTCCTGTGTCCACCAGCCCAAGGCACATTGCAATTATGGACCCCCGAAGTGCCATGCTGTTCCAACACCTACTGGTTACCCCAGCACTGCCCAACAAAGCTCCTCCACCATGAGGGACAGGTTTTATCAGGGAAAGCTTTACTCACACATACAGTAGAGTTAACAAAGACCTATGCCAGTGAGTCAGCACAGCCTGGAAGGAACATCACACTTGCTCCAGTCATCTCAGTCAGGCTCTGGGCCACGGCTCAGTATTAACAGTTCCACATTGCACCCTCTGTTTCTATGCAGTATCAGACATCTGCTCAATGCAGTCTCCCCTCTCCCCCCAGTTTCTGTTACTCTGGGGTTTTATAGCCAGATGTCAGCACAGGCTACCAACCTAATCAGTCCACAGCGATACCACTGTACAGCTTCCCAACAGTTTCAGGTGTTGGTCTCCTGTTGCTTGTTCATCCACAGTCCATACTAAGGCTTGTGATACTCAACTGTTCCTGTCAGCAATGCTTTGTCAACCAAAGCTTATTTTACCAAGGTATTCAACTTCTGATCAAGACAAGGTCTTTATGCTCCTGTGACATCATTTAAAATTAAATAGGGATGGTGGTTTCCAATGACATTGTTGATGCAAGTGGCTTGGTTTGTAAATTTTTCACATTAGAATAGAACTTCTAAACCAGCAGTAATCTGAACATTTTTTATTTTGGATAAGAATAAAATTGAACACTAATCTCTGTCCAGCTTCAGCCTGTAAAAGAAGGTGACTGAAATAAGGCCCAGTATAAGTTGGTATGCATCTGTAGGTCTGAACATTTCTCCCATTTATTCTTCTTTCCGAGAAAGCCTTGGGCTGCACTCCAGAAGTAAAGCTAATTGTTGCATCTTATCTTCAGGCAGTGATTATGTAGTTTGTTCTTTCCAGATGTATCTTTCTTCTGTGCTCACATACCCTTACCCCGCAGCCTTACGTAGTGTCAATGCAAGACAGAAGATAAAAATCAGTTGCTAGTTCATTCTTCGTGTTTTCTGCTTTGCTATTTCAGCCATGCAGAGACACTTACCTAATGAGCAGAGAATTACTATAGCTCATATTTTGTTCTTTAGAACAATTTTACTATTTCCTTCCACCAAAGAAGAAAAACCCAAAGTCACTGAATACATAATACTACGCCTTTGCTGGCAGGAGAGGTACAGTGTGCATGCTACGTAGTGGACAGCTCTAGGCAACAGTAGAAGCTCATTAGACCCCAGAGGCCTGTAGGAGGGCAGGATAAAACTATCTTCAGTATTCTGCATTGAAAGGGTACTCCTTGTGATTTTTGCACCTGATAGAAATCAAAGAGGAAAGATTACTCTCAAAGGCTGAAATCAATGCTATATAGAATTACGCTGGGCATGTAAACAAGTGTTCGAGGGAGGCTATGAATTGTGTAACTGCAGAATGAATTTAAGAGACTTACTAGTATAGAAATGGCATGCACAACCAACAAGTTCAAGTCTTTTCCTGTTATTCAGGCACTGAACAGTGGTGAGACCAAGTTACTTTCTAGATATAAAATTTAAAGTTCACACTGCTTACAGAAGAAAAAAAAAAAAAAAAAAAAAAAAGGTTACCGTAGTGGCCTTTCAGCCAAGACTTCTTGTCTGGCTATAGGCTTCCCAGGGGCACATCTGCAAGCAGTCATTCTTCAGACTGCACTTCAGGTGGTTATTCCCTCCCCCAATCCCCTATGTAAGAGCTGACATCAGTTTTTAATAACTCACAGAAAAAAAAAAAATACCGTAAGTTTAAAACTGTCAAATGTTCATTTCTCCAATATGGACATAGCCAAAGTTATCAACTAGAAACCTCCTTTTGGAGTTCCAAGCACACAAAGTTTCCCACAGAAAGGATCCACAACGAGTACATAGTATGACTTATACTTTAGGCAATAAAGTGAAAATACAACTCCACTAAGATATTAACTAACAGATGCTTCATCCCTCAAATGATTTCAGATTTCAAAATATACCCATTTTAAACAGCTATACCAGTACCTGCGAGATTAGAATAAAATTATTGAAAATGTAAGAGTTGGAAGGAAACAAGCTGTCACTTACGTGATCATTTCACAGATCCTCCAGTTTTTGTTTAAGCTGAGAAGGGTTGACATCTCCTCTTTAGTCAATTCAAAGTCAAACACCTAAAAAGAAAAACAGTTGGAAATCACCTCTTTGAACAAATCAAACCAGAAACAAGATTCACAAGGTTGAAGAACAAGTTCACATCAGAAAAAGTGCTGGTTAGAAACGATGGCTTCGTGACACAGGGAAAGGAAAAGAAGTCTCTTTGGATTTTCAAGACCCTACTGGCAGAGGGAAGAAACAAACAAAAAAGATCACCAGTTGCAGTTACATGTGCCAGCTTTTCCAAGGTGTTTGGTGAGCACTTAGTGTTGCACAATGCCTCTATTTGTGGAAGACGCATTTCTCTCAAATTCCAAAGAAACATCTGGAAGACCTTCATATTTCAATAAATCCATTAATAATCCATTAATAAAGCTATGTTACTCCTGAAATCTTGATGTCCAGTATCAGGAAAAAACCCTGACTTAACAGTCAGAGGAGCAGTGTGGTTTATTGACACCTGGACTCTTCCCTTAACATTGCAGTAACATTCCTCAAAATATTGAGTAAGCACTTGGACTCCAAGCAAGCCCTGCCCGCCACCTCATTCACAAGTCACAGAACAGGAGACACTATGTGAGGTCACTGATAAGGTTATCAGCATAATGTTTCCAGGAGCTCCATCCATCTCTTTTCTCCAAGTGTAGTTTTCATTGTAGCCTTAGCTTCCAGACAGAGAAAAAGCCCAGTCCACTTGCCTGAAGAGGACTTGGGAAGGGTGAGAAAGGATCACGGCTTGCTCTGCAGGGAGAAGCCATGCCATCCCTGAAGGGCAGCACCAAGGTCACTTGTAATCACTCACCTTGAAGTTCTCCACAATGCGCTGTGGTGTGACAGACTTGGGAATCGCAATCACATTTCTCTGGATCTGGAAGCGAAGGAGAACCTGCAAGAACAGAACACTGGGTCAGAGAGAGAATGGCTCCTGCTCTGAAGGAAGCAGAGCCTGTTCCAACAGCTGTTTTCCCTAAGCTACACCTGCTTCTGCAGAGCTGTGTTTCAAATCATTCCTGTCCCTGTGGTCTAGGTAGCGCTTCCTAGAGAGCACAGCGGGAAGTGGTAGAGGCCCACATGGAAGGCCTCCTTTTGCCATCCAGCTTTGTGACAGTCAATTCCTTTTCTTTCCACCTGGACTTTCAGTAGTCTATGCAAGGCTTTCAATCTCTGCAAGAGGACTTGAGAGCGGAAGCAACATCTGAAGATGGGGCAACAATCTTTTTCTGGCCAAGGGCCAAAATGCTTCTTCAAGTATATGTTGCAGGCCACATAGTAGACAGTCCACATTGTTAGTTAACACCACAGAAGGGCACTACGGTTCACAGGGAACGCTGTCAGAAGCTGTACTCTCTCTTCAGGCATAGTCTCCTTAATGGCTGAGTTACAGGAAGGAGTACCCACTGTGTGGCACCTACCTACCTGTGCTGGGGTTTTGTTGTGCTTGGCTGCGATCTCTTTGATCTTGGGGTCATCCAGAAGGGAAGGCTCCTCTGGCTTAGCCCTACGCAGAGAGAAAAAGGAAGAAATGGCAAAGAATCTCTGCAAAAAGATTCTACCTAGTATGAATACTTAAAGAAGTGTGTACACACACCTGCACCATTACTCATTCAATTAGTCTGAATGCTTCAAACTTAAACCACACTAACCCACTTGGAAATTACCTGTCAGGGCGCCCAAGGGGACAATATGCTGTCACAGTGATCCCTTTGGATTGGCAATAGTTGATAAGCTTTTCCTGGGAAAGGTATGGGTGACACTCGATCTGCCAACACAGGAGTAGAGACTGTGTAGAACTACTGTAGCGTTCCCATGCTCCGGAGATTTTCTTCTGAATCTTAATTTCTTAATTACAGGCTGCCTTAATTCTACCCTGCACATAGTCTGTGTGACAATACAAGGCTATAATTCTATAGGGCACCAACTTTTATATTGAGTCCTTATATACTATTTGGATTTTGCTCTAACAGGCTTTATAAAAAGTCATCGATTACAGTCAGAATGATAGTTCATGTCTGGATTCTTTATCGATCCAGAGAGAATGCTTCATAGGGAAATACTCCAGAATTTGTAAACAGTGATTCAACAAGGTGAGACAAAAAGGAAATATTCTGTTCCTTTTTGTACCAAGAAGTATTCACAGAGCTGGATTTAGAGTGTATGCTATGTCTACTTTATTCTCCCTTTTTCCATTCCACTGTAACCAGATCTTTATAATCCCTGAAAACCATTCACTTGCAGTCACTTAGCAGCTTACCTGATTATTTGCTGGCTTATGCTTCAGTCCCGGCTTGTTCAAGATTCTTTCAGTCTGCTCACGGTTAAAGTTGGAGATACCAATAGCTTTTACCAGACCAGCATCCACCAGCTCTTCCATGGCCTAACAGAAAGAAGAGCAAAGTCAGCATCCAGTGTACAAGACATGACCTGCGTACATTCTTCCTGAGGTGACTTGTTTCCCTTCATGGGAAGCACAAAATAACTGTGTACAATTGCCAAGGTTTTGATTCTCAAGGGGAAAGTGGGTACTGGTAATGTGTGACACATCTTCTATCACAACAAAGTCCAAAATCATTGTTAAGAATGAAATTGACTGAGTCAGACAAGGAAAAGAACACTCTAAGCCTACTATTGTGACTGGAGGGCTATGCCCTAGAAAGATGGCGGGATCACAGCCCAAGTGTCTATTTCTGCAAATCTGTTTGAGCAGCTTAAGAACTGCGGTGAAGAAGAGTCATATCATTATGGTCAAGTAAATAACTTTTTCTAGCCTCAGTCTCATCTGCACCTCCACTGAAAGTGACTGTGCAGCTCAGTGACTTGAGATGTTAATCCACGGTGAATAGGAATAATAGCTTGACTAAGCATGCACATTTTCAAAAGCTACCACATACTTTTGTGAATTCTTTCCAACTAATTCCGTATACATGCGTGAGCCATTCTGTGACTGCTGAAGCTAACACCACTGCTGAGGACAGAAGACGCGATTCTTCCACTGCGGCTGAACTTACCTCCCATGTATGTAGAATATCTGTGTTGCTGGGTATTGACATGCCTTTGTCATCTGTGGGAAACAGCTCCTCTCCTGCCTGTCAGTGGGAAAGAAAATGCTTGAAAATCTGTTGAGAAGTTCACTTAATACCAGGAGAGCTCACTACCATGATAGCTTAAACTTCTAGTGCAGACAAGAATGCTAGTTCTTGTCTACAGTCAGTCACGCCTTCCTGAGGAGCGGGAGGAATTGAAGGCATTTTTGCCAGTGACCATTCCCATAAAGACAAGATTTTCTGCTGGACCCCTCTATGTGATGACTCACTACACCTACAGGGAAACACACCACTCGGAACTATAGCCTCCAGTCTCATACATGTTCACTTCATGTATTGTTCTTTTGTGCCCGCTTAGGAAGAACTGGTTTGTTCTTTTTCCAGAAGGGCACTGCGGGACTCAGGTACTGGGAACATGTAGCTTTGGTCTATACAACACCAGATCTAATGAAAAGAGGTATTATGTGCAGTGACAGTTCTTCCATGACAGAGCTCGGTGTAAAGCTGCTAATACTAGGAAAATTAGAAGAGCCTTTGGGTACAAGTTTTGAAAAGATACCATGACAGACCTGTGTTTAACAGCTGTTTGCTACTGCCACCATAAGACAGTTTCACTGTCATGGCTCTGTTAACATAAAGTTAAAATAGAGTATGAAATAAAGATGAGCCTCTCAAAAGCAACAGGTAGGATGGAGACTGATCAGACTGTAGCAGGAAGGAAAGGCTAAGATTAGAAAAAGTCAAACGGACATCAACTCCTTCACTAATTTGTGAAAGAGTTTAGGTCCCACAAGAAATTTCACCTTTTGAATTCCTGTCTCAGTGGAACAACCCTAAGGCTCCTACAGGCAAGGTCAGCTCAATCTGTACTGTATTAAAGACTTGGTGATTAAAGAGAAAAATGGAAAACAGAAATATTTTCTCTTGTTCTGTGATTCTGTAACACACAAAGGAAAATTTCTGTCAGACAGCAAAGTATAGCCCTGCTTCCCGCAAGGGGTAATTTTGAGAGAAGCGTACACTGATTTGTAAGAGAACGGGAGAGCAGCCTATCTTACGCTTGCAGCTGGCAGACCTGCCCCTGGTTTTCAGACCATCATTCCCATGATCAAACAGTTATGCTAGCAGCAGTCTCGGGGGGCAAAGATCAACAGCCTGGCTCACACAGCCAGAGTAAAAGCTGAGCAACAGAGCAGTGCTGGTACACACAACAGACACGTGACTGTCTTTCTCAGCCAGAGCAACTGTTGTGCTGTAAAGCCACTCAGCTCCCCAAAAGCTGTAGTCAAAAGAAACAAATCCAAGGGCATTGCCGTTACTGTACCTTCAAACCAAAAGGCCAGTGCATGAGGTAGAGGTCCAGGTAATCCAGTTTCAGGTCAGCAAGAGTCTTCTGGCAGGCTCCCTTCACCAGAGGCTTGTCATGAAATGTACACCACAGCTAGAGAAAAAACCCAAGGCACACTGTGACCTCCTGGGTTAAAGCTCTCAGGTGCTCTCCTGCACAGGACAGAAATGCTCCATCACCTTTGGAAGGCAATGTGGAATGAGGCCATCCTAGTGCTCCTGAGATGGGACTTGCTCTGTGATGGGACTTGCCCCTGACACTGAAGGCAGCACATGTAGTGGCAGCACGTGTATTTGAGCAGGATCATAATAGACAAAGTCCTCTGGTTCCATTAGTTAAAACATCATTTGTGCTACCCCCTTTTACACAGGGTCTGCCTTTGGAGTAAGTGGCTTTTAAATGAAGACATATATCCGTCATTCATGACCATGCATAATACTCCTGCATTGAACGTAGCAGGCAAAGCCAAGAAAGTATAAAAAAAGCCACACAGAAATGATTGGCACCAACCTTTACCAATGTAAAAAGGAACTTGAGAATCCAGCTATCCAGCTAAATAGCCTGTTTTTCTTAATAAGCAAGAGTAAGAAACTCCACCAACCACACCTTCCCTGGGACATGTGCTGAGCAGATTCCACTGTCCCGAGGTGCCCAGAACCTCATCTTCCTCACAGAGCAAAGACACCCCTTTGGCAGGGCTGCGAGCCTGGCTGCTGGAGCAAGCAGCAGCTACTGCCAGGCTCATCTCCTCTGCTGTGCTTTAGCAGTCAGTGATGTGCTGTTACCAAAGTGGTTCTGTCTCTGTATCAGTCCTTTACACCAAGTGATCTCAAACCTCTGCATCAGGGGTTTCTACCTTCCTTGGTGCTACTTGGCACACCGCCTTTTTCTGCTTCCCTTCTGCATCAGTTGGTCTGCAGACGGCCTCTCCTCATCCTTCCCTGCGCACTTCTGGGTCTCCTCAGCAGAGTGCCAGACCACAGGAGGGCTGTGGCGCTCAAGGTCTCAGTAGATTTTGGGAGTGGGGTGGAGGAGAGTGTGGAAATCAGAATCTTGACCTCCTTCAGTGTTATCAGGTTGACTGGGGAAGAAAGCTGCCACCAGACGGTTCGGATAAGGGCGATTCTTCTCCCTGCTCAAAGCTCAGGGAACTCTCTCTTCCTACCCAATGGCTACAACAATAAAAATTCCTACCAGCGGACAGAAAAGCATCAAACTGCATCTCTGTGCTGATGAAGTGAAAGAAGAAAATTGTATCAGGAGCAATCTTATTTACATTACGAGTTTCTCCAATGCTACAGCATAGGAAACTACTTTAGTTTCCTACTGTAAAAATATCACAGGTAAACAGGCCTGTCCGTGATCCAAAACCATCAGATCCTTACCTTGCTGACAATGATCCTTGATTTTCTGCTGGATCCCATCCCCAACTTCATTTTCATTCTGGTACACATAGGCACAGTCAAAGTGGCGGTACCCGGCGTCGATGGCAGCCATCACTGCAGCTTCCACCTTACCTGGGGGGGACTGAAGGGAAAAAGCTATGATACATCTTGATTTGGGTTTCTCACGTGCTGCTCCATAGGTAGCTAGCGGGTAAATAAACACACAAGGGGCCAGACGAGGGTGGGGCGGCTCAGCCCCGCGGAGGGACCACGGCCCCAGCGACCCGCGTCCCCGGGCAGAGCCCCGCAGCGGCGCCGGAGCTCGGGCTGCTGCGAGGGGGCAGCAGGCAGGGAAGGACCCCCGATGCCAAGTGCCGCAGCGGCACCGCCGCACCGAGAGGGGACCGCCGGCCGGGAGCGCGAGGCCGGCGCGTGGCGG